CACTTCCTCTAATATTTTGTCAAGATTCTTAGCTTTCTTGCATTGGGTTAGAACATGCTCCTTTGGTTCAGAGGAGTTTATTACCCACCTTCTGGAGCCTACTTCTGTTAATTCATCAGTCATTCTTTGTCCAGTTTTGTTCCCTTGCTGGTGAAGAGTTGTGATCCTTTGGAGGAGAAGATACCTTCTGGTTTTTGGAATTTTCAGCCTTTTTGTGCTGGGTTTCCCTCATCTTCATGGATGTATCTACCTTTGGTCTTTCCTCTGGTGACCATCTGATGGAGTTTTTGTGTGGTTGTTTTTTTGTTGATGTTGATGCTCTTGCTTCCTATTTGTTAGTTTTCCTTTTACAGCTGGGTCCCTATTCTATAGGTCTACTGAGTTTGCTGGGGGTCCACTCCAGACCTGGTTTGCCTGGGTTATTACCAGCAGAGCCTGCAAAACAGCAAAGATTGCTGCCTTCTCCTTCCTCTGGATGCCTTGTCTCAGAGGGGAACCCACCAGATGCCAGCCAGAGCTCTTTTGTATGAGGTGTCTGTTAACCCCTGCTGGGAGGTGTCTCCCCATCCAGAGGCACAGTGTCAGGGACCCACTTAAGGAGGCAGTCTGTCCCTTAGCAGAGCTTGAGTGCTATGCTGGGAGATCTTCTGTCCCTTAGCAGAGCTTGAGTGCTGTGCTGGGACATCTTCTGCTCTCTTCAGAGCCGGCAGGCAGGAATGTTTAAGTCTGTTGAAGGTGCACCCACAGCCACCCCTTCCCCCAGGTACTCTCCAGGGAGATGGGAGTTTTATCTATAAGCCCCTGGCTGGGGCTGCTGCCTTTCTTTCAGAGATAACCTACACAGAGAAGAGGAATCTACAGAGGCAGTCTGTCTATAGTGGCTTTATGGTGCTGTGGTGGGCTCTGCCCAGTCTGAACTTCCCAGAAGCTTTGTTTACACTGTGAGAGGAAAACAGCCCACTCAAGCCTCAGTAATGGCAGATGCCCCTCTTCACACCAAGCTCAGGAGTCCCAGGTCGACTTCAGACTGCTGTGCTGGCAGCAAGAATTTCAAGCCAGTGGATCTTAGCTAGCTGGGCTCTGTGGGGGTGGGATCTGCTGAGCAAGAGCACTTGGCTCCCTGGCTTCAGCCCTCTTTCCAGGGGAGTGAACGGTTCCATTTCACTGGTGTTTCAGGTGCCACTGGGGTATGATAAAAAAAACCGCAGACTAGCTTCGATAGTTGCCCAGTTTTGTCCTGGAAACCCAGGGCCCTTGTAGTGTAGGCACCTCAGGGAATCTCCTGGTCTGCAGGTTGTTAAATCCATGGGAAAAAGCATAGTATCTGGGCCAGATGGCACCATCCCTCACTGCACAATCTGTCATGGCTTCTCTTGGCTAGGGGAGGGAGTTCCCGAACCCCTTGCGCTTCCTGGGTGAGGTAGCATCCCACCCTGCTTTGGCTTGCCCTTCGTGGGCTGCATCCACTGTCTAACCAGTCCCAATGAGATGAGCTGGGTACCTCAGTTGGAAATGAAGAAATCACCCACCTTGTGCATTGGTCTTGTTGCGAGCTACAGACCAGAGCTGTTCCTATTTGGCCATCTTGCCTAGGAATCCCATGTTTTTCCTCTTAATGGATGAAGAAGAATCTAAAATTGGACTTAGAAATATTCATGTAGAATATTTAAGGTGCTAGGTGTAGTTTTTCCCTTTCATATTAGGAAGTATTTTCTCACAGGTAACATACGGAAAGCTTTAAGGCAGAAAATGAAAATTGGGGGTGGGGTATGGTGGCTCATGCCTGCAATCCCAGCACTTTGGGAGCCAAGGTGGGAGGACTGCTTGAGCCCAGGAGTTCAAGACCAGTCTGGGCAACATAGTGAAACCCCATCTCTACAAAAAATTAAAAAAAAAAATTTAGCTAGGCATGGTGGCACATGAAATGGAGGCTGCAGTGAGCTGTGATTAAGCAACTGCACTCCAGCCTGGACAACAGAGTGAGACCCTGTCTTTAAAAAAAGAGAAGAAGAAAATTTATATGATTCCTGCCATCTCAATCTGTGTATTTTCCATTAAAAAATTTTTTTTTACAATATTATGGTTATACTGGAATTAATTTTGTATCTTCATTTTAAAATATTTTTTCTATATAAACAATCTAGTGCTCAATATAGAAAATATGAAAATAGGATATGTACTTAATTTAGAGATAACTCATGAAAAGAAATGTGTGTCCTTTCTTTTCATATTTTCTTGAATTTTATCATTACTTTTGTATTCATATCTTGTTTTAACTTAACATCATGGGAGTACCTAGGTTGAGCTAAGGATTCTTAATACAGGCGATGATATGGCACAGAAAGCCCAATAAGAACTTAAATAAAATGTGTGTGACATTAGGCATACATTGCTTGGATACCTGGACAGGTTAACACTCTAACCTCAGCTGGAGGAGTGTGAGATACTCTGTCTTTGAGATCACAGATATGTACGAATTTAAGCGTGCTTTGTTACCTTGTTCTCATAGGAAGCCAAGCGCTTTTCTAACATAGATAAATCTTGGGTGAAGATCATGACTCGGGCACATGAAGTTCCCAACGTAGTTCAGTGCTGTGTTGGAGATGAGACCCTGGGGCAGCTGTTACCGCACTTGCTGGACCAGTTGGAAATATGCCAGAAATCCCTTACTGGGTAAGTTCACTGGCTCCTTGAAAGCTCTCAGTATCCTTGAGACAAAAGGTTATCGAGAGACTAGATAGCAGTAGCCAAATTTATTTTCTTTTGCTAAGGCTTAATTCACATATAAAGCTGTTGCACGGATGAAACTGATATTTTGAAGCCTTGTATTCTCATCAAACACTTGCTAGATTTGTCCTGATGTTGCACTCATAGGACTCAAGGCTGCTTCCATCACTGGGATAAGATCTTATAAACATTCTCATACAGTCCCTCCTTTTAAAAATTAATATACCTATTATTATTATTTATTTATTTATTTGAGAAGGAGTCTCACTCTGTTGTCCAGGCTGGAGTGCAGTGGTATAACCTCAGGTCACTGCAACCTCTGCCTCTGGAGTTCAAGCAGTTCTTCCACCTCAGCTTCCCAAGTAGCTGGGATTACGGGCATGCGCCATTACACCCAGCTAATTTTTTTGTATTTTTAGTAGAGATGGGATTTTGCTATATTGGCCAGGCTGATCTTGAACTCCTGACTTCAGGTGATCTGCCTGTCTTGGCCTCTCAAAGTGCTGGTATTATAGGCATGAGCCACTGTGCCTGGCCCCTTTTACCCTTTTTTTTAAAATTTATTTTACCTTAGGTGCATACTATATCTGGCATTTCTCCCCATGTTATCCCTCCCCATGGTCCCGTCCCTCCCCACCCCCCATTGTCTTTCCCCTACCCCCACAACTGTCTCCTGTGTGTGATGCTGCTCTCCCTGAGTCCACATGTTCTTGTTGATCAACACCCACCTATGAGTGAGAACATATGGTGTTTGGCTTTCTGTTTTTGGGTCAGTTTGCTGAGAATGATGGTTTCCAGATTTATCCAAGTCCCTACAAAGGACACGGACTCATTGTTTTTTATGGCTGCATAGTATTCCATGGTGTATATGTGCCACATTTACCCTGTCCAGTCTATCATTGATAGGCATTTGGGTTGGTTCCAGGTGTTTGCTATTGTACACAGGGCTGCAATGAACATACGTGTGCATGTGTCTTTAAAGTAGAATGATTTATAGTTCTTTGGGCATATACCCAATAGTGGGATTGCTGGGTCTAATGGAATTTCTATTTCTAGATCCTTGAG